ATTCCTTAGAGTGTCACGATTTGCTTTATCACACTTGAAACCAGCACCAAATATTCCTTCATTCCTTACCTTGCCAGCTAGGACCACCATACTCAAAATTTCCTATTGCATGCACGAACAGAAAAAGGGCTCATGTAAGACCAAAGTGGATGGGGTGGGGGGAAATAGACTCTCCGCAGCTGAAAGATTGCAGATGTATGAGCCTGATCAGGGTCTGGGGGTGGTGCTGAGTTGCACAAGGTACTACCGTTTCAGTGCCGTGAGCATCAAATGCATATTAGGTTTCCTAGGGACTTGGGAAAAGCAAAACTGCTTATTTTTCCTGCGTTGAGCACACACGGTGTCAGACTTTAACAGTGTTAGGAAAAAAAAAAAAGTCTAGTGGAGAAAGGAGAGAAGCTTCACTGAGAGGGAGACCTAGAGTCTGTTGCCAGGCAAGAAGGAACAAATTCAGATGTTCATATTTTTACAAAATGATTTCTTGTTCAAATTGTACTCTTTTGCTTTTCAAAAGCAGCCAGGAAAATGAAGTTATTCGTACATTCAAATTTTCCTCTCTGCTGTCATTTCAATTTAATTATTGCTCAAACATCTGTAATGGAAAAAGTTAGGGGCCTAGAGCAGGGTTTTCAGTTTGGATCTTTCTAAGTCTGTCCCTGAATAGATGATTGAACTTGGGCAAGGGACCACGGCCTTCAGGAGGCTTGTTTCTTTATCTAAAATAAGAGGATCCTAATCCCTACATTACAGTGTGGACGAGAAGATGTAATGAAGTAATAAATTTAACATCAATGTAACGTAACATCAAATAAATGTAAGTCAATCCTCTCAGCATGTTAGCTGAATCCAAATATAATTGTCACATGTTTTAAACTGACAGTAAGAGTCCTGCATAACCCGGGCGTTTTTATTTAAACTGTATCATCTTGGAGTTCAGGATTTTATTTGTAACAAAATGTATTTGGATTTGAGCAGAAAAGACAGTACATGGTGTCACATCAAAGCCATGGTCATTACCTTATCGTCCATCAGGAAAAAAAGACAAGAGACGGAGGGGCTCTTCCAGGCTCTGTTTTGTAGGAGTTTGGAATTCTTTTCTAAAGGCCTTGGAAAGGTGGTGATGCCTGCAAAGGCTTCACTGGCCATGGAATTTCTTTAAACCAATTTGGAATTGAAAAATAGCCAACTCTCGAAATCTTGGGGATTCCAAATTAGATGACGCGGAGTCACAGAATTGTATGGATAACAGTTGGGTTTGCTTACTTGCCACTTGGATTCTGATATAGCATGAAATAAATAGATGTCAACAAAAGACTCAACAAAACCATTACCTTAATTCTGACTTGGTTCAGCAGTAGTCTGTATTTGGAGTCCTCAATAAAATTAAAGGTTTTTTTTTTTCCCCAAGAAATAGCTTTTTTTTTTTCAAGCCTTTTATAGACATAAGGTCATTGAATTTTTTTCCTCTCTGATGTTTTACTCTACAATTGTTTAGACTCTCAGAATTGAACAGAAACAGAGAAACCTTTTCCAATGCATACAATTGTGGGTTTGGGTGTTCCATTATTCTGGTCAAGTTGAAGCAGGCAGGGAATGCGATGCCAATGACTCCAGGCTCAGCTTAGGGCTTTGAGGCCTTCAGCAGGTTCTCCTGGAGCTCTGTTTTTATTTATTTATTTGTTTGTTTGTTTATTTAGAGACAGAGTCTCACTCTGTAGCCCAGGCTGGAATGCAGTGGCGTGATGTCAGCTCACTGCAACCTCCACCTCCTAGGTTCAAGTGATTCTTCTGCCTCAGTCTCCTATGTAGCCAGGATTACAGGCACCTGACACCACACTCAGCTAATTTTTCCATTTTTAGTAGAGACAGGGTTTCATCATCTTGGTCAGGCTGGTCTTGAACTCCTGGCCTCGTGATCCACCCATCTCAACCTCCCAAAGTGCTAGGATTACAGGGATGAGCCATCGTGCCCAGCTAGCTCGGTTTTTTTTTTTTTGTATTTTTTTTTTTTTTTTGAGACGGAGTTTTCGCTCTTGTTACCCAGGCTGGAGTGCAATGGCGCGATCTCGGCTCACCGCAACCTCCACCTCCTGGGTTCAGGCAATTCTCCTGCCTCAGCCTCCTGAGTAGCTGGGATTACAGGCACACGCCACCATGCCCAGCTAATTTTTTGTATTTTTAGTAGAGACAGGGTTTCACCATGTTGACCAGGATGGTCTCGATCTCTTGACCTCGTGATCCACCCGCCTCAGCCTCCCAAAGTGCTGGGATTACAGGCTTGAGCCACCGCGCCCAGCCTAGCTCTGTTTGTAAGAGAGCAACAGATCTTTAACCTAAGGGAACAAAAGGAGTCCCTTTATCCACCACTCATGTATTCTTTCCAGTCCTGATCATAGATTTCTGTCAACAAGAAACCACAGCAGGCTAGGAGTTTTACATTGGTCGGATGCTGTGGCTCTTTCCCCTCCAGCAGCATTTCCCAGCAGACTGGATTTCCTTATCAATCATGAGTTGCCCACATTGTGTTTCCTGGTTCAGCTGCTCATGTGACCATGCTAAGACTGGGGGAACCGGAGTCAGTATTAATCATGAGACACGTCACTCTTGGGGCTGGACTGGCTTTGAGGATGCCTATGGTTGGGCTTTTTCCCTGGAGAAATGTCAGTTTAAACCAAAAAAAAGCTCAACTTCTGCTTGATGTTTAACAGCTTGGTCATTATGAGGGATCCTATAAAACCCCTACCCCCTGCTGTTATGTGGGTGTTTTGTAACCGTAAAATCAGTTGTTTCTTCCACAGCATATTTACTGGCTCCATGTAAGACAATCTACAAGGATTCTAATTTACTTCTCACCTGTTTCTTTTACCTAGTTCCCACACAATTATCCCTGGAGATGACTGAACACTGGCTTGTTTAACGGTGTTGTCATTCAGCTGTGCACTGTTTTTAAGTGACGCTGTCTTGTGTAACTAGTGCAGTTAGCGAAGGTGGCAGCTACAAAGTTGCTGGCTGTTGCTGTCAGGCACTGTGGCAAGTTTCAATCACACTGTTTGCTTTAATGCTAGACATTGCCTCAGCTTTGAGGCGTGGGAGCTATAAATTAGCATCTGAAACACGCATCTGTATTCCCACTGCTGTATTTCCCCTCATGGCCCCTGTGACTTCTAAGTCTTCTCTCTGGGAGCTGCTATTTCTTGAATTTAATTCCACATTAAGGAATAAATGTGGGTGTCCTAGGAATTAGCCCATGGAAGGAATCTGCTGAGAATCCAACTATCTCTTTGGGTTTTTCTTGAAGATGACCCCGTGGCAAGGATTTCAGTGCAAGTCGTTTATTTGGGAGGTGATGGGTGGCCCCAGACACACTAGGAGGGGAGCGGGAAAGGAAGACAGGAAGAGGCACCAGCCAGTAGTCATCAGGCCACTTACTGCTGTGGACAACTGGAGCTTGCTTCACCTCCCTGGGAAACAATGGCAGCCAGGGTAGCATCATCCTACTTGATGAACAAGTAAGTTGGGGTATTTATCCTGCAGTCCCCTTCAGAGTGGGCCAGACAAAATGCCAGGCCAAAAAAATGCAGGTGCTTGCAGGTAGATGTGTGGCCAGTGTGTAACCATGGTAAGGTCAGGGCCCAGGAAAGTGGGGGATGGAGCTCCTCTAACTCCACAACCCAGGTGCCAAAGCAAACTGGCAAAGCTGAAATCCCTGATTATCTCACAGCTAGAAGGACCTGGGAGAGGATGTCATTCAAGCCATCTAACTCCTACAGAAATATTTTCCATAGCTGTCATCCATCTTCCACCTGAACACCCCAGGTAATGGAGGACTCAAAGATGTCCATTCCATGGATCGACAGTTCTAGTTGTCGTTCTACCCGTAACTTTCAAAATTTCCATGTTTTATTCAAACAGCCATTCATTCCATGTTTATTGAGCATCTCCTGGGTGGAAAGAACAGCAGGAAGAACTGAGATTCACAGATGACACGGCCACTGTAGCGCTCATGGTTGCATATGGAGGAGAGAAATAGACAAGCAGAGATGTTACTCTCCTACAAGCCATGTTTATAGTGTGCTCTCATTGCACCAGAAACATATACTGCAGAAAAGAGAGTGGTCACCTCTCCACAAGAAGGAGAGGTGAGGCAGGCAGAGTAGGTTTCACAGAGGAGTGAAGAGTGACTGCAGCTCACTGAGTGGGAGAAGAAATGGGTGAGATAGACTCAGCATGAAGTTAATGGTGGCGACAGCTGCATTAGATTCATCACACTTTGAAAACTATGCCAATAGAAATTCCCACACCTACAGAATGAGCGCTTATTAGTATTTTAAACCAGAGCTCTACTTATAATGGGATTAAAAGAAATTACTTATTATCTACTTTTAAAAGCATGAAGCCGGGCATGGTGGCTCATTCCTATAACCCCAGCACATAGGAAGGCCAAGGTGGGTGGATCATCTGAGATCAGGAATTCGAGACCACCCTGGCCAACATGGTGAAACCCTGTCTCTACTAAAAATACAAAAATTAACTGGGTGTGGTGTCAGGTGCCTGTAATCTCAGCTACTAGGGAGGCTGAGGCAGGAGAACTGCTTGAACCCAGGAGGTGGAGGTTGCAGTGAGGTGAGATCGCATCACTGAATTCCAGCCTGGGTGACAAAGTGAGACTCTGTCTCAAAAAATAAATTAAAATGAGATAAAATAATTTAAAAATAAATGCATAGGCCTTTTAAAGGCAAATATCAGTATTTTTTCTCCTATCCAGTTTTCTAAACCTCCGTCCATTTCTTACCCTAGTGGCTGAATATGAGCTCATCTACAAGATAAGTTTTTACCTCCTCTGCAGAAATTTTCAGAGTTATTAGGAGCAAACACATGGATACAGAGAAACTGCCACCAGTTGTACCGCATGGAAATAGATCCGTAAAAAGTAGCTCAAGTCAACCACACACTGGTCTAGTAGCCTGTAACTGAATAGTGCTGATCACTGTACTTGCTGCATGTGGGAATGTGGAAAAGAAGGTAAGTCCACAGCTTGACACGTTTGCGACCTTCAAAACGAGGTAAACCTAGAAAATGGGTTAATCAAATATGGGTGTGACTGCAGTTTATATTTGCATATATGTATATATAGAAAGGGGTGTGTGTGTATGTGTGCGTGACATTATCCTGAAAAATGAATAGAAAAGATGGGTATATTCCTCCCTAAAATAAGATGTTTATATTCAACAATTTTGTGTCATTTTAGGGATAAAGCAGGAAAACGTAGCCAAGATACTTTCACATAGAAAAGTCACAAACTGGCTGTCCTTGGGGCAAATTCAGCTTGTGGACGAGTCATGTTGGCTCATGCAGTGTTCACCCGCGGAGAATTTAAAATCTGAATTAGTTGCCATCCTTTAAAAATAATGATAGTATAGATTGAAATTCAAGTTTCCAAGTTCACTTAGAGTTTCAAACTGCCTGGCAATTCTGAGGCTATATTTCACATGACATTCAACAGCTCTCTCCTTTCAATAAGCATGTACTTCCTAGTAAGCCACTCCCTTCCTCGCATTACGGAAGGTAATTATTACCCATCATTTCATTTCTCCTGGCTTCTTTCATTTACATTCCTTGTCTGGCCCTTGCAAAACTTTGAGATGGCCAGAAAGGTATAAACTAAGAAAGGAAGAACAAGACTTAGGTATTTAAATTTTATTTTCTGTATTGCGTTTTCCAAGATCATTGGGAAACTGAAAGATGCTTCAGGAGAAAAGACGCTCTGTAGGAAAGTAAGTTTGATAACCTAATTCCTTTTGAAACTCTCAATGTGCCCGGGTATGTAGAAAATGACAAAGCCTCTCTTGGAAAGCTCATAACATGCAAACTTGCCTGGCTCTGGTCAGACAATAAAGAGCTACTGGAAGGTTTTAGGTAGTCGAGGTTTAAAATTTGATCAGAATGATGCATTAGCTAGTTCAATTTGCTGAAAGTACAATTTTCCTAACAAACAAGAGAGAATGCAAATTAAAGAAGGACTATCTATATCCTTCATGTTTTTCCTCTAATCTTAGCCTTATGTAGGGGTTCTGCACTGAGCATCTTTCCCAGTTTCACCATTAGTTTACCCCTCCAACTTACAGTCCTTGTAGTTAAATTAACTTCTCTATAAATTAGTAACGATGCTTTATGTTCTGATATGTGAGAAGATTAAGTAAGACAGTACCTATATTCTCATTTATATCTTCTTCTTACTACTGCTATCATCCATAGATTCATAGATTTCTACATACACATGTTCCAGAAAAATTTCTTGTGCATTTTGATATACAGGGCATTAAACTCATCTCCTTACCCACTGTAAACTTTATGTCCTCAGAAATGCATTAATGAGGCTCCTTTGGTTGAAATTCTAATTATACTTTATGAAGTTATATTTTGTCTTCCTCAGGGAAGAACATATAGAAAGAGAGGGGAAAGGAAAAAGGAACAAAGGAAAGAAGGAAGGAAGGAAGGAAGGGAGAGAGGGAGGGAAAGAGAGAGAGAGGAAAGAAAGAAAAAGAAAGAAAGAAAGAAAGAAAGAAAGAAAGAAAGAAAGAAAAGAAAGAAAGAAAGAAAGAAAAGAAAGAAAGAAAGAAAGAACGAATGAACCAACTTTAATCCCCTAGACAATAAGAGTGAAAGCCAGAGTGGCAAGTTAATGTTGAATCAGAAACAACAGAAGCTCCTTTGCAAAGTAGGAGAACAGAGAATTGGCCCAGTCATTTCCCAGAAATGAGAATTTCTAGGTCAACCACAAAATTAGAAGTTTACAACCAAGAATTCAGCCAAAAAAGCCAGCAGTTCCCCACGAGTCTGAGGGTTGTCCACTACAGTTATGTTCAAGCCTATGTTCTGTTTTCAGCTTGGTATTTTAACCATGCTATGGCAGAAATGTCTCTGATCCTGCCCTTCTTGCAGTGGTTTGATCTTCCATCTCTGAAGTCAACTGAGGCCATATGCAGTAGACATTTCTGTAAAGATCATCACCAAGAGTGAGATGCTCGGTACATAAGCATAGGTGAGATACCCTGAGCTATGATGAGGTTATCTAAAGAATCACAGGAGGCCTGCCCCCAGCTATCTAAAGAGGGACTCACTGAACATTTCAAAAATATTAGGATCTTATTTTGTTTCAGGCACCAGGCTACAGATGGGGAAACAACAATAAACAAAAGACAGATCAATCCCTACCCTGTAAAGCTTATGATCTAGAAAGGAAGGCAGACAAGTTTTGCAACTTTGGTTAGTGCTAAAGAGGAAAGAAGCAGAGTACTTTGAGGAACTAACATCTGGCTTCATCGTGGAGGTCAGAGAAGGCATTTCCGGGGAAGCAGAATCGAGATGATGACTAAGAATCAACCAAGCAAAAAAGGGATGGAAGTAAAGTTTCAGATATTGTTTGCACCAACCTCACAACAATAGCATCAGAAATATTCAAGGATCTGAAAGAAAAAATACAGCATAGCTGAAGTCCACAGAAAAGATCCAATGGATGCATCGAGAGAAAAAAAAATAAAAAGAACAAAATAGAGCATAAGAGATATAGGGAACCCAACTAAATGCTCCCTAGCACAGTTGCAACTTGAGTCCCAGAAGAAGAGGAGAGGCTGTGATGGGGCAGAGAGTTATTTGAAGAATTAATATCCAAGAGTATTTCAAAACAGGTGACAGACTTTGACCCAGAGACTAAATCTAAATGTTCAGCAAATCCCCCAAATGATAGATAAACAAATTGTAATATGCCCATAGAATGGCATTCTATTCAGCAATAAAAGACGGAACTTCTGATATTTGAAACAACATATAAGACTCTCAAAAGCATTATGATAAATGAAAGAAGCTTATCACAAAAGGCTACATATTGCTTGAGCCATTCATACGACATTCTGAAAAAGGCAATGAGACAGTGATAAAAATCAGACCAGTGGCCACCAATGCCTGGGGTGGGTAGGAAACGGACCAGAAGGGGCACAGGAAAACTTCTGGATTGGTGGCCTCTCAGATAGTATTAACAGTATGATCAAAACAGGCTACGAAGTAATATTACCAGTAGGATGGAGATTTTGTTATATTAATAATAGAAAAGTCTAGAAGAAAACACACGATTCAACCATCAAAAGTTAGCTACTGCTTCATTTTTGTTTGCTTTTAATTGTGTTGTTTATACTTTTCTTTGATGACTGAGTTTTCTACAATGATAATGTAACTATTAGTGTTGTTTATACTTTACTGAGTTTTCTATAATGATAATGTAAGTATTACAGTTAGGGAAAAGATCATTTTTGAAAACAACTAGTATTATTCATACTGATTCTAAAACATAAGCAAGCTATTTCCTAATAAGTTTGTAATTTATTTTCTAATTTTAAATGTTCTCCTTTAACAAAAGAATGTTTTTTAAATTTTGTATATTAATTTACACATGTACACACAGACACACACACACACATACACACACTTCATCCATATTTCAAAATCTCTGTCTATAGTAATCACTACCTATGGGTTTGCAGAATTCTTAGCTAAATTATTCACTTACCTAACCTCCCCACAAGGCCCAAATAAAGTGAATTTCCAACATGGTGCTTGCATTGCTAATTGACGTCTACTTGCAAGATTTTCCAAGTGGAAGGTACAAAGGGAGATGGCAGGACTCCACGAAACAGATCAGGGCTCCCTAACCCTTGTCCCCCACCTGTTTCTAAACCGCACAATTAGAACAATAAATGCTGCAGCTCCGTGTTTGACCTGACAGGATGACGACCCTTCCGCTCAGCAAGGCCACACAGGACCGACTACTTGGAAAAGAACTCTCTTGAGGGTTACTTAACACAGTCACCTGTTGATTTATGAACACGCACACTCCCACATACCTTGTCTCACCCTTTTAATCATATCAATTTGCTACACCTCAGCAAAAGGAAAAAAAAAACCGGAACCAAAACCACTAATTACTCACAAATAAGTCAACTGCAAAGTTCCACATCTGCTCAGTCTGGATGGACGAAATTTGTAAACCACTAACACCTCGTTTTCCCCTATTTTGTAATGAATTTTTAATTACACAAGAAATGAGCGAATTCACTCTCTTCTTAAATATTAGGACTTTTACTCAAAAGTGTCTTTTGACCACATTCTCCAATTTCTATCCCTCTGAACCCTCCCTTTAGATAGTTTGGGGTTTGGAGATTTAGGCTTGCAGTCCTATATATAATACAGCCTATTTGCAGCACAGGAAGCAGTATTGCTTCATGAGGGTTTTTCTTGCATTTCTTTTCTTCTTTCTCTCTCCCTCTCCCTCATTCTTTTCTTACATAAATGGTTTCATACTGCAGTTTCATTCTGCAAATTGCTCATTTTTGGTTTTTGAGCCTTATCCCAGTCTAGTTCAACTGGATCACTTTTATTTATTTTCATTTCTGTATACAATTCTATCATATAAATACAGCACACTTTATTTATCTATTCCCCTGTTGGTAGGCATTTAGGTTGCTCCAATTTTTCACCATCACAAGGCAATGCCCGACCACGCACATAGTCATATCTGACAATCCATGTCCACATGTTCCTCCCACCCAGGCACACTGGGTCCATTGCCACCATACTGAAATGTCAGGGGCCCTGACAAGCAAGTCACGTAGTGCCTGGGTCCCAGTTCTCCGCGTTCTGGACCACGGTGGAGTAAGGCTCCTGGGTTCTAATGGCCACCTCACTGGGTCAGGCTCTCCCCAGGTTGGGAGGACAAGCTAATGGGAGAAACAGGGCCATCTTCACTCCTGCTTCGCCCAACCACTCACAGGCTGACGCGCTCATTTTCAGATTCAAATGCAGAATTTCATTATTTCCCCTGAAACCTAAAACTCACCTAAAGGCGTGTATTGGGCATTCCCTCCACCTTGCTCCAGGCCAAGGAGGGCCCGGAGGGACTCAGGCCTGAGGAGGACACGTGTTCCAAGGCTGCTCTCCTTCCCAGGGCTGCCAGGAGGCGGGGAAAGGCACTCAGGGAGTTTTTGCGGGAGATAAGAGCAAATTTGGGGGGGGGGGGAGGTAACAAGGCAGGAGGTGGAGTCCGCCACGGGCGTCTTTCACACTTGCTACTTTCCAGCCCGTGAATACAATCCCGGCCCTGTTTCGCGGCCCCGCGGCCACGGCAGAGGCATGAACTCATCGCAGCTGCGCCTGCCGCCAGGCGGGAACGCGAACGGGAACGGGCTGGCCGCCGTCCCATCCCCCGCCAGCCGGAAACGTCCGCGCGGTGAAACGCAGAGGCTGCCCGGGAAACGGCGAGAGCGAGCGAGAAACGAGCCTGAGGGCGGCGCGCAGCCGGCGAGTGGGGAGAAACAGACTCGCACCCGGGGGCCTCCGGGACTCAGGCCGGGTCCTGCCGGAAACGTGCGGCGGGGACGGCCTCGGTCGGCGCAGCGCCCCTGCGTCTCCCCCTGGGGGCGCGGGGCGGAGTGGGAGACCTGGGAGGCGGAGGAGAGGGGCCTTGCGAGCGAGGCCCGGGCGGGGAGGCCTGGCCTCCTGCTCAGTCTGTGCAAATGGAAAAAGAGACGTAAGTGCCAAGTCCCCAAAGAGCAAGCCATGGGCCCGGGCTTTACAGCCTGTTTCACGAGTTATTCCTCGAAGCGTGCCTGGCAGTCGAGTTTCTTCATTAACGCTGCAGTAAGCGGATGGGGAACATGAGCGCCCGGGAACATGATGGGAACAGGAGCGCCCGGGAACATGATGGGAACAGGAGCGCCCGGGAACATGATGGGAACAGGAGCGCCCGGGAACATGATGGGAACAGGAGCGCCCAGGAACATGGAAGGCTCGCAGGCAAGCAGGTGGCGGCCCCCAGCGTTCCGGGCGGGCCCTGGGGTAGAGGGAGCACATTATGATGCTTCAATAGCCTCCCTTTTTTATCCTGACTGAGGTAGTCCTGGGTGGTGGTTTGGTGCCCGTTTTACACTGAGACCCTCTCCCTACCTCTTGCCCGTATCCATAAGGAATGTCTGCCTCCGTCTGATCCCAGGCTGCCTGTCTATGGTTCCAGAGACCCTGGTTGTGACGAGCAGCAAAAGGCCTCAGTGTCTCAGTCGCCCAGAAGTTCCCCTGTCTTTGGGAAGACGCTGCTGCAACTTAATGGAGACCAGGAGAGGGAGAGGATGCAGGGATGGAGTCTGGGTGAGGAGGCGGAATGGCATACAGAGGGTATTCCAAGCAGCAACGGTTACCCAGTCAGCGTTTCCCACTGATAGAAACCCTGGAGGCACTTTATCCTGTGACCCCAACTCTCCTCCTCGGGCGTCAGCTTCTTTTCCGTTACCATTAACTCCTCTTATTCCAACCACAGCAGCTGTCAACCTTCTCCATTGTGAAGGCCCCGGTGGGTCTCAGAATCTCTGCCCCAAAGCCCTTTTGAAAGGAAGGTTTGTATTGAGGGGGGCTTTGAGAATGAAGAGGAGGCTGCTGCGGTCTGAATGTGACGGTATTGGGAGGTGGGGCCTTTGGGAAATGATTATGGGCATTAAAGAGCCCTCATGAGTGGGATCAGTGCCTTTTTCAGAGGTCCAGGGAGCTGCCTTGCCCCTCCTACCATAGGAGGACACAGGGAAAAGGCAACATCTATACAAACCAGGAAACAGACCCTCACCAGATGCTGAATTTGCTGGTGCCTTGCTCTTGAACTTCCAGCCTCCAGAACTGTCGGAATAAACATCTGTTGCCTGTTAGCCACCAGGTGTACGGTATCCTGTTAGAGCAGCCTCAGATGACGTAGGCAGCAGCTTTTCAGCCCCATCTCTGCAGGCCTCAGCCTTCCTCCCACCAGCATTCTCTTCCTTCTTCATGAACATGGGATTTCCTGGGTCCACCATAGTTCCTGATCCCTCTAGCACTTTGGTTTCATGAGGAAAGACATAAGAGAAAGATCACAGAGAAGCCGCACATGGAAAGCATCCTCTCTGGAGCAAAGGAGAGGGGACAATGTGGGGTGAGATGTTGCTGAGGATCCCCCATCGGGCTGAGAAGTGGCTGGGCTCACCATCTTCCCTTCTTCTGTCTCCCCCTCCCTAGGACAGTGCTGCTGCCCATGTCCAAGGTCAGGGACAGGGGACAGGGTGGGACTGTCACTTGGGCAGCTTCAGAAAGAAAAAAAGAGAAGTTCCTGAGCGATGGCTGAGATGCACATGATAGCACTCAAAAGTGGCCCCCACACATCTCGTTTGGGAGCCTTTCCTCTCTTACCTGAAGTATCTTCATGAACGAGTCCCTGCTGAAATTATTTTTTCAAAACAGAGTGGAAAACATGCAATGCTTATGTCTCAAAGAAGGATTTTCTGATGAAAAACTGAGAAAGCACAATAAATGCGATTTTGTAGTAGCATGGAGTAGCTTCATACTGTGAGTTTATGTGTAAAAAGCTGTAAATACTCATTAATGAAATCACTGAACCAAAATCACATGAAAAAAGTGAGTTCTATATGTATCGGCTATAACTTGGGAGTTTGTATAATCTATCATCCAAACAAGAAACTGTGGGCACAAATCAAACCATCTAGAATGCTGGTCCCTCTGGCTACAGCTAAACTTGTTAGAGATTGCATCTGTTGCCAATGTTGTAATTTCGAATAGCCAGCAGTGAACTCTGTGGAAGTAGTGATGAAAGGTGAACAGCAGGAACACAGCTGTGGCTGTGTCTTCATAAAGTCAGCACTGTGGCTCAGACACAATAAAGCACACCTCAGCTCATTCTCCTTCACAAGCTACTGGCAAAACACCAAGAATGAGGGGAAACAAATGGCAATAAGTGGATTTTACAGAAGAGGAAACCCCACTTCCAGTGACATTGCTTCCTGTCACCTGTTCCTCCTTTAAGAGCAGAAAGCCATCATTCTTCGTCTCCAGGTTTTATTTTTGAGATCATGACACATGGGTTTTCTTGGATCTTTGAAATTTACTTAAGAAGAACAGGCTAGACTGTTTTGTGCACCATGATCACATGATCACAATGATCAATGATTCTAAGCATTGTGAGTGAGAACCCTACTCTTGCACCCAACAGTTCTGGAAGAGACATCACAGTTTCTCTCAAGACAAATCCACAGCACAAGATAAGACATGCTATCTTTCCATGAGACCATGAGTTCCTCAAAGACAGTGAACATGTTCTAACTTTATGCATTTTTTTTTTTTTTTGAAACAGAGTCTCGCTCTGTCACCCAGGCTGGAGTACAGTGGCGTGATCTCAACTCACTGCAACCTCTGCTTCCCGGGTTCAAGTGATTCTCCTGCCTCAGCCTCCCCAGTAGCTGGGACTACAGGCACATGCCACTACACCCAGCTAATTCTTTGTATTTTTAGTAGAGAGTGTTTCATCATGTTAGTGAGGATGGTCTCAATCTCCTGACCTTGTGATCCACCTGTCTTGGCCTCCCAAAGTGCTGGGATTATAGGTGTGAGCCACCACACCAGGCTTATCTACTTTCTTTTCAATTTGAGGATGATGCATGCATCAGGATAGGGACGGAAATACTAGTTCTCTTCTCATTCCCAAAAATGTATACGCATCCATCTTTCATGAGCTCCTGGAAGTTGAGTGGGTCTACATTTTAAACAAAATGCTTACTGGGGATTCAAGGCAGCTGTGGTGATTCAGGTAACAGAAGCGCACATGTGGGAAGGCAGGAGCTAGAGGCAAGAAAGAGTGAACAGTGCATCAGGCCCTCTGACCTTTGCCCTTGGCCATCTGCAGCATAGGAGGATGCCCCTTGTGCCAGGTGGCTGTCAGAATCTGGGGACTGTTAAGAGCCAGGATCAGCGCCTGTCAGTCACGTGCTGAGCCCAGCACTGACAATGAACATGTCCTGTCTATGACTTAAGATATACATCTCATCCTCTTGAACCTTAAGAATATTACATTGAGCTCCTCAGGAAACAGCATTTAGAAATGCAAGCATTTTCATCTCATCCTTTATCTTTAACACAAGGTTCTGGAGCCTCCTGGGACTCATTTAAGGGTGTTGAAAAAGGAGTGGCTGAGACTTTGGTTTGCTTCATCTCAATATTTGAAGTACTTAACATTATATTTGAAAGTTTAATTTGCTAAAAAATGAAAATTGTTTCAAAAATTGTTTTGTAGAATATAATTGATAATGCCTCCTATATGACAAGTGGGAATACAGACTGTGGTTTGCTCTCAAGATGTGTATAGGATAGTGGAGTAAGAACATGTATATAGCCAGACCATTACAGTCTAAGGTAGGTATGGGAAAGCCCTGCTTTGAGTTCTCACAATCCAGAGCCCTTCTCAGTCGCCGAGGGGTGATAAGCAAATACGAAGGTATTGTCCATTGTTGGCTGGGTTTCTAAGGGTCCCAGTGTGCGTCGGGGCAGGAGAAACAGTAGGAAGCTCTGTCTGGCTTCTTGCTTCATCAGACAGTACCCAGGCATTTTTGCCTTATTTAGAAATATACTTGTTTTATTATGTCACCGACCGTTTGTTAGCACAGAGAGAGACAGAGAGGCTTAAAATGTTTGAGTGCCTTATCTCACATTGTTTATGTTCTTAAAATAATTTAATTAACTTAATAAAAGCATTTTCATTTCGTAAACAAAGAGAGCTCAGAAAAATTAAATGTTCCAAAAGGCCAAATGAATAGAAAAGTCACATCATCGCAAGTCAGTCTCTCACCCTCTGCCTTGCACATTCCTGCAAGCCCTGTCCCTGAGATCCAGTGGGACTTCTAAAAACTGTCGTCATTTCCTCATTTTGTTAAGATTTTAGCGGGATCTTAGAAGCCTTCTATATGGATCAGTATTAGAACTGGTTCTAAATGCCATGGCTATGTCTACCTTCTGAAATGACTCTACACAGATAAGGTGAAAAGGACAACCAAATATATGATTTAGAATTTACAAAGCCATTTTAAATACATAGATTGATTCAGGTTTGTTTTTGTTGTTGTTGTTTGAGATGGAGTCTCCCTCTGTTGCCCAGACTGGAGTGCTGTGTCATGATCTCAGCTCACTGCAGCCTCTGTCTCTTGGGTTCAAGAGACTCTTCTGCTTTAGCCTTCCAAGTAGCTGGGATTACAGGCACGTGCCATCATGCCCAGCTAATTTTTTTGTATTTTTAGTAGAGACCAGATTTCACCACGCTGGCCAGGCTGATCTCAAACTCCCAACCTCAAGTGATCCACCCATCTCCGTCTCTCAAAGTGCTAGGATTATAGGAATGAGCCACTATGCCTGGCCTGATTCGGTTTTTAAAGAAGGAAGAGTTTAAAATTCTAAGGCGATTTCTGAAAGAGCCAAAGGAATGAAGGGGTTATAAAATTCTGGGTTTATGCCATCAACACAGGCAAGCAGACTACATCATTTTAATCTTATACTTTTATTAATTTGGGGAATATTTCATTATTATAAACTTTTTAACCTATAAATGATTAGGAACAGTGTAAAAATATTTGTACTCATGACTTCTGAAGTGCATTATAATCTCTGCACTTCAGTAACAGAAATGTGGTTTCTGAATTATGAGTATAAATGTACATGGATGGAATATAAATTATTGTGGGGACAAATATGCTATCTACAAGCAGTTATGTATTTTATACAGTTAATATCAGCTAACTTGGTTTAAATAGTAATTACATGTTAGGCACATACTAAGAATTTCAAGTGTATTATTATCTCTTAATCCTCCATGAACCCGTGAGGTAGCTACAATTGTTCCTTGTATTTTACAGATTAGGAAACTGAGGTTTCCTAATATAGCTAGCAAGGGATATAACTGATGTTTCTGAACATAGCTAGCAAGCGATACAGCCAGCCTCTAACCCAGCCTCTCTGACACTGTTCTGTGGGATAGTGAAGAGATCACACAGAGATATGCTTAGTTGTAATATTATTACAGCAATGATTATTTAAAAAGCAGATGATTTGTCATTGTTTTTGACATATCTCGGTTTTCCCCTGATAAATCCTCTCATCTGTGGCAGTCATAGTTCAATCAGAAGCAGACTCACTAGGAGGTTTTATGTATGCATGTCAAATACACAAGCACACACTTACACACATATATACACATACACACACACATATACATATGTACCTTTGTGTGTGTGTGTGTGTGTGTGTGTGTGTATCTTTGTTACAGGGATTTGTACCTTACAAAGTTGTGGGTTCTTGCTAAGCAATCTCGGTAAGAGCATTGCCCACAAGGCAGGCAGTGGGGAAGCAAGGACAAGATGGAGCCCACGGGCATAAGCTGGAACCCGTGAGGATGGATTGAGACTCATACCAATTCTTGCTGCCTCTGACTTTGCTGGTGTGGGTGTCCTGTAGGAAGGGTTTGTGACCTTTACCACAGAGCTGGCCCAAGAGCCAAGAGGATGAAGCAGGACAGCAGGGGTCTGCTGTCCCAGACCAGCAGCAAGTAGCATTTGGGTGCGCTACAAAAAACGGCTGCTGCTTCACCTCCAATCTCCATATGTCCCCCAGGAGACTCTTTTGTGGTCCACTCTAACCAAAATCATGCAGGGAAGGGAATTCTGGGAAATGTAGTTCTGTCTAGGCAAGTTGATACTGCAAAGCTACCACACCAAAGTGCACGAAAGATACAAAGATGGATGGGATATGGCTCCTGCCTTCAAGGGGCTAACCATCTAAGGGTGTGAAGGGAAAGAGGAACACAGATGTGTAATATCAATACAAGTATTATATTATAACAAGCATTATGATAAGTGCACTCGGTGCAATAGAAACCCACAAAAGTGGCTAACTCTACCCAAGCTGGGATTCCAGGAGAGCTTTCTAGAGAATGAGGTATCTAAGGGGCCTTGAAGGATGAAGTAGAAGTTGGCTAAGAAAGATTAGTAAGGATATTAAGGTGGGTGGGGAGAGGGAATAACCATTGTGATCTATGACAGAGGCGGGATACAGAGACTTATAAGCAATAACTGCAGAATGCTGGGAGTCGAAGGAAAAGGTGATGCAGAAGTCTGTGTTGCAAATCCTAGAAAGTCAACGCATTGTGCTGTAGGGAGCTTGGACTTCATGTCCCAGTGACTGGGGAGCAATTCAGCCATTAGTCACATAAAAATGATATGGTCATTGAGGTAAATAGTCTCCAAGATAATCACCTCACTGGCTTTCCTCTTTGTGCATGTGTACTGCTCACTGCATTAAAAGGTAGGCTTTAATTTTCCTCCTCTTGAGTTTAGGCTGGCTTAAGCAACTGCTTGGCTAAGGGAAGACAACAGAAGTTACATTCTAAGAAGAGGTCTTAAGAAGTCCTGCAGCTTCTGCCTAGTTCTCTCAGAGTACTTGCTCTTGGAACATGACATCTCTTAGAAGCAAACTGCCATGCTGTCAGAGTCTAAACTCCATGGAGATGCCACATGTAGGTGGTCTGGTCAGTCACCCCAGCGGGGCTCCCAGCCAAAACCATCTTGTACATTGCCATCATGAACATCCAGCCAAGTTAGGCCTTTAGATGACTTCATTCTAAGCCACCATCTGAATGCAACTGCATGAATTACCCCAACTGAGGATTTCCCCTTATCAACTCACATAATTGGAGAGAGAATCATAAATTGTTTTAGACTTCAAAGTTTTCATGTGGATTGTTACATAGAAATAGATAACCTGAATTGCCATGTTTATGTTTTGGGTGTTTTGGGGGGAGGACATGGGGGAGGGAAGATGCTTTAAATGAAGCTTACAGACCTAAAAAAAAAATAAAATGAAAATAGGAAGACCTGGTAGGAATTCATTGCTATAACCAAAAAAGAAGATATAAGAACCTGAGCCTGAGAGTACTAGTTGGGGTGAGAAGAAAAGCTAGATTCTAGGAACAGGAAATAAAATTAATAGGCTTTATGGTAAGTGAAGGGCAAAGGAAAGAAGAGGAGCCAAAAATGTTTTGTGTGTCTCCTGCATGACTGGGTGGAAGCTGGCTGTCTCAATCACAAAGACCCAGAACACGGTGGAAGGATCAGGTGGTGTAGAAGAGGGAATATTATGAGTTCTGCAAGGTTTCTAAGTGTGTGGTTAATTTTATGTGTCAACTTGACTGTGCTATGGAATGCCCAGAACACTGGTAAGACATTATTTTTTTGAATGTGTCTGTGCAGGTGTCTCAGAAGACATTAGCATTTGAATCAGGAAACTGCACAAAGAAGACCCACCCTCTTCTTTGGGCTCCACCCTCATATAATTGGATGTGTGCATCATCCAATTATATGAGGACCTAATAGAACAAAAAAAGCAGCAGAAGAAGAAATTCTTTCTCTCTCCTCTGTCTCTCTCTCTCTCTCTCTCTCTCTCTCTCTCTCTCTCTCTCTCTCTCTCTCTCAGCTGAGACATCCATCTTCTTCTACCCTCAGATATCAACACTCCTGGTTTTCAGGTTTTTGGACTTAGACCAGAACTTGTACCATCAGCTTCCCAATGTGCTGGCCTTTGGACTTAGACTGAATTACATCACTGGTTTTCCTGGTTCTCCAGTTTGCAGACAGCAGGTTGTCTGTTGGACTTTCAACTGCCATCAGTACATGAGCTAGTTTCTATAACAAATTTATTTCCATCGATATACCTATCTATCCTAGAGGTTCCGTTTCTCTGGAAAACTCTGACTAATACAGTAGAGGATATCCAGATTGAAAAGTTCAGGAGAAAGTCTGACTTAGGCGTTGGAAGCTCAGATTGGAAGAACCTCTTGATAGATATCCCTCAGGAAAGACTACGAAAATAGCCAAAATAATTCAAGGAGAAGATGTAAAGCGAACTGTGAAGCAGGCCAAAAATGAATTTCGTTGGTAAACCTATACTTAAATCCTCTGCCATAGAATAGCTGCCTAAACTTGGGCAAATAACCTGAGAAATGTTCTCAGTTTCCACATTCCAAAAATGGATTTTAATGAGAATTAAATGTTGTGATGCATTCCAACCACCTGGCCTAGAACCCGGCATATGAGCTCAGTGCATAATGGGGATGGTTATCACCACTGTCATCATCTTAGTAGCATTCGTGTAGAAGGGATGATGGGCTGCTGAGAAATTTATGAAGAAGATGAAAAACTATTACAGAGGTGGGAGGGAAAAGACAGGACTATCACAGAACCAAGAGAGCTGAGACTATCGAGAACGGGTGAGGAGTTACGGGGACTGGCAAGTTCCCTCTGGAGTTGGTCATATTCAGGTTGTTGAGGGCCTTGATGAACATTTTGTGTTTTTTTTTTTTTTTTGAGATGGAGTCTTGCCCTGTTGCCCAGGCTGGAGTGCAGTGGCATGATCTCAGCTCACTGCAACCTCTGCCTCCCAGGTCCAAGTAATTCTCCTGCTTCAGCCTCCTGAGTAGCTGGGACTACAGGCTCACACCACCATGCCTGTTTTGTTTTATTTTAGTAGAGATGGGGTTTCACCATGTTGGCCAGGATGGTCTCAATCTCCTGACCTCGTGATCTACCCACCTTGGCCTCCCAAAGTGCTGGGATTACAGGCATGAGCCACCACCGCCGGCCAATGACCTTTTAATGAAGTGGTAAGAGTTAAACAAAGCTGAGATAGGACATGAGTCTCAGGGAGGATGGGAGGACTCATTGATTACCATTCCAAGAAGCTTGTCTGGAAAGGAAAGAAGAGATGGTGGTAATCAGAGCAGAGCAACAGGATGCCGGGAGTTTTTATTTATTTGTTTGTTCTTGTTACCGATGTTGTTTTCATACTGTTTGTTGTTTGTTAAAGAGGGAGAGTTGTAAGTATAAGATAATGTATAAATAGAGAAAACCAGGAATGGATTCATGTGAAAGCCCTTGACTGAGAACAGAATTAACTACCCTTGCAGAGGTAGTCTTCAAGCCTTGGGAGGTAGGCAAGTGTCTGAGACACAGCTATTTCGGGGATCGGGGCCTTTCATTAGCTGACCGGCTTGAGGCAGCGTAATTTGGAAGCGGATATGAGAAAGGGCATAATAATGTGAAATTTGGCTGCTTAGTGGGGGAGGAAACTTTGAATATTATGAGGCAGTTATGAAAGTATTTCCTTCTTATGGCTTCAGTGGCACTGCCTCTGAGCATTAGTGTTTGTCCTCAGGAGGTAAATGTGGGGACTGTATCAGCACTTACTACCTAGGTAGGTGTGGTGTATAGGGGTAACATGGTTTATAGAACATGCCAGCCTTAACCTCACTTTGGTAGATGAGACGTGGAGCCTGAGTCAGGAGACCATGCAACCCCTGAGGCATGGTGAGGTGGGGTCAGAAAGCGTCACTGGTCATGATCCAGACCCAGGCATGGAGAAATGACCTGCTGGGGTTTTCTGGGAGCTGGAAGGTGGGGTAGGTCCAGGGTAGATTCTCGGGGGGCAGTTTCATAAAAAGTGAGTAGATCTCCACACTTAGTATCTAGACTAAATGGAATAAGCATGTTCCGCTCTGTTCTTCCCACTAACGATAACAAAAAGCCCTGGACGAAGTTCACAAAGCAACTGACGGAAGACTCTGAAGTTGGAAAAAGAAAGACAGACTGGCAAGTTCCTCCATACTCAAGGCATCATCCAGCAGGGAGTGCTTTGGGTGTTGTTTATGAGTTTGTTTTGTTTTGTTCATTAATTTTTTTCTCCCGTGTATGGCAGTGTGGGCTCCAGCAATGCCTATAACCCAGAAACACAGATGGGTACAAATTTTAAAAGCCCAAGAAAAGTCTTTTTAGCCATATGACCAGTGTTTCCAGCAGAGCAAAACATTTTGATCACATCTGTCCTTTTGTTCTGGCTAACCCCTCCCCCACCACCATGTGCTGCTGGGGGAACACTGGGGATGAAGCCCAATCATCTCCTCCTCCTTCTGCAATAACATGACTATCCCTACCTCTCCTAACTAGAGGCTGGGGGAGGACTATGTGGAGGAGAGAACTGGAGAAAGCAGTGTTCTAAATCTGTGTATGAAATCCTGGGTACAACTCTGAGTATCCCATGCACTAAACAGACAAGAAACAACACAGCAAAAGGATTCAAGGGTCAGAAAAACTGAACACTGGTCCGAAACACTTCCCGACTTACAGATTCGCCTCAGGGTAGCACCCAAGTGGAGCAGATTGAAATAGCACTGTAAAGGCTTTGAAAAGGAAATGACTTTTGAACCACAGCTCACAAAGTGAACCTGGAACAAGCATTCTGAACTTAAACAGGTCAAGTGCCTGCTAAAATCAAAGACTTAAATAGGAACCAGAATAATATAACATACTACTGAAAATGTCTAGGATGCAATCCAAAATCTCATCACACTGAGAACCATAAAAATCTCAACTTGAAAGAGAAAAGGCAATTGTGAGCATTGAGATTACACAGATGTTGAAACTATCCAGCAAAAATCATGAAGCAGCTATTATACGAATGCCCTGATTTTAAAGCAAGTACAAATGACAAAGTGGAAAGTCACAGCGGAGAAATAGAAAATGTAAGCAAGAACCAAATGGAAATTTTAAAACTGAAAAATACAATAACTGAATTTTTAAAAATTACTAGATGGGCTCAGTAGCAGAAATTCGGAAAGAAAGACCAGCAACTCAGAAAAAGAAGCAAAGATATAAAGAGTTTGCAGAAAATGAAATGTAGATAACTCTTACACATATAAAAATGTGCAGCCTCACTCACTTAAGAAAAATCAAAATTAAAATTACACCGAGATACTGCTTTTTACTGTTAAATGGCAAAACTAGAAGTGTGAATATACTCTATAAGAATGTAGAAAATTCTCATACATTGCTTGTGAACATCTAGAACAATTTGGTTGAATCACTAAAATCCACATGCCATTTGGTCCTGTAATTCCACTTTTAGAAATATAGGAAACTTGCATATGAGTGAAATGACATATGTGGAGTGTTATTCCTGCCTACATTGTTGGTCATCATGAAGGACTAGAAAAACTTAATGATGATTAAATTAATTTAATTTGTGGGTGAGGTGCTGATTAAATTATTTTTATATGTCATACAATGGAAAGTTATAAAACTATAAAAAAAAGAAACTTTCTATAATGTGCTACCATTGAATAAATAAGAGGCGAGACAGTGATCTGTATGTGTCTGTTTGGATATGCTTTAAGAAACTTTAAAGGACAGGTAACAAGAAGTGGCTGCCCAGAGGAGAAGTGGGGCTTGGGAGGGAGTCTGGACTGTATGCCTAAAAAAACTCCAAAATAAATAAAAACAAACCTATGAAGAACAGACATAATCCTTAATGTCCAGTCCCAGGGCTTTATCATAGTGGTTCCTTTATGTTTGGATGAGGTAAACCCATCCAGTGTTTCAATTAACTTGGCTTACTATTAAGCCAATAATATTAAGGAACTTAATATTAGCAGGAATACTCTTTCATCTCAGGCATGTTAGATGCCTTCCATGATCTCCATGAGGAAGAAGGCCCCTGAATCCCCAGGGACACTGGTGAAGATGAAAGCATTTTGTTATGGATTTTTTTACCTGGTGGCCTGAGTTGCTGGGGGCTTGAAGCCTGCCTCCCTCCCTGCAGGGCACCCTACCTGACTGCTTTCTGCTCATCACACAGGGTACCTTTGCATGATCACTATCTACCTACTCCTAAGTGTCTAGTTCTGTGTGTGTAGTTTCCTATGGAACTGGGCAGAAAAGTGAGTTCTTCTGTTTTCTTCTCATCTTTCAGGGGCCCAAAGCAAAACTTCACAAGCCCAGTCCTGAGTACCTGTCACACTGGAAGTGCTTCCTTCTCTGGTTAAGGAATTTGCTTTCGTTTTTTGTTGGGATTGCTCAGCCCCCACTGAAGGATAGAGTTTGAAGCTGGGGGTCCTTCTCAGAATTCCCCTGACCCTTATGTAACAACCACAAATGCCATCACTTTTCGTAAGGGATCAAGTTGCTTTCCAAAATCGCAAGGAGTCACTGATCTGCACTGGCTTTCTCATGAGGGCATATGTGGGCTGGGGCACAGCTGTTTCCATCTGTTACTTGGGCTGACACACAAGGACAGCTGTGAAGGGATCGTGTCTCCTCCCCGTCTCTGTTTCAATGAGCCTTTGGTTTAGCCCAACTTCTGAATCCAGGTGATACTCCCTAATTGGCAAACAAAAGACCCAGGAATAAGGCAGAAAAGTCTGGCCCTTGCAGAGCTCCTCTCCGGTTATTTAAAATGAAATCAATCTCACTTCTCCCCTTTTCCCTCAGTGTTCTGAAATAATATTTGAAGTTCTGTTTAGTCTCTTTGGAGAACTGCCAATGACTTCGAGTAGTGAAGCTGTATTTTAAGAGATGATTACACCCAGGATTTTGGAAAAGTGATTCCCACTTAGGAATAATGTATGATATGGATTTAATAATCTGCCATACTACGTGTCTCCCTACTTTTTTTTCCTCAAGCAAATAAGGGTAAAAAGCTGACAGTAGCAAAAGGAACCTCTCTTCCATGAAAGTGATTGTTAAAGTGTTGTTTTTTTTTTTAATTTAATGAACTACTATCAATGGTGAGTTTTGAAAAGACTCACAGGCAGGAGTTCTTAGATTTTCTGCTTTTGCTATTGACTATAGTAAATGTTTTCAAAAATCATCTTTCCATCTCTTACTAGTTGAAAAATAAAAAAAATTATTCATACTCCATTGAAGTTATGAGTGAAACAAACAATATTTGAGAAAGAACAATAAAAAGCCCTTTTGCCTGTTTTCTCCATTCTGACTACATTCATGTAATTAATTGTTAAGTTTGGTGACTCCCTTCCGCAATCTGGAGAAGCGGCACTCACTCTTTTTGAAAAGTATGACACCAGCACTTTGGGAGG